GGGCCTGCTGATCGTCCGTGGTGGCCTCGGGCGTTTACTGCAGAGCTGGCAGAGGACAGTGAGAGAGCCTTGCCCTGCGTCCTTCTTTACCAAACCCGGAGCTCTCGGAAATCACCTTGTTTCTGCCTTCATTAGACTCCTCTCTCCGAAATGTGAACTATCAGAGTAGGGAGAAAAGGCTCTTCCATCACCGTAACCTCCATATCTTACAAAAAGCCTGGCCACAGGAGGTGTGTGTGACTTGGTACAAGTCACGACTTTAGAGATCCAGGAATCCGGTTCAGTGGGTCTCAATTTGGGCATGGGAGTCTTGGATTTCTATTTCTTTCTTTTTCTTTCCTTCCTTCCATTTTCTTCTCTTTATCTTCCTTCTGCTTTTTTATTTATTTATTTTTAATAAGGTTTTTCTCACTATGTAACCCTGGCTGGCCTGGAACTCTCTGAAGACTAGGTTGGACTTGAACTCACAGACTCATTTGTCTCTGCCTCCGGAGTGTTGGGATTAAGGGTGTGTACCCCTATGCCCCGCATCTTGGATTTCTTTATTTCTTTATTTCTTTATTTGTTGGATTTCTTTACACTTCAAATTTATTAGGACCTTAACTTTTTCGTCATGGTTTTGTTTATTGTTGCCTTGTTTTGGTTTTCCCACACAGGGCCTCTCTGTGTAGTCCTGGCCATCCTGGAACTAGCTGTGTAGACCAGGCTGGCCTAGAACTCAGAGAGTTCCGACAGCCTCTGCCTCCCAAACCTGGGACTAAAGGTGTGGGCCACCACCCCGGGCTTTTGTTTGTTGTTTTGAGACAGGGTCTCACTATGTAGCTCCACCTGGTCTGGAACTCACAGTTTAAACCAGGCTGGCTTTGTATTCACAGAGGTCCATCTGCCTCTGCTGCTCAGATTAAAAGTGTGCACCACCAGCCGTGGGTATTGGGATCTGCAAAGGCTTTTGTTTATGGAAAAGATAGCTGAAATCCAAATCCGTTTATTTGCTTGCTTTGAGGCAGTTTCATCTTTTAAACCAAGTTGGCCTAGGACTCATTATGTAGCCTGAATGGTACTTCCATCATGGAGTCAGTTGTGCTAAGGTCTTGGGGGCCCTCTTACAATTAAGATTAACCTCATGCCTTAGAGTCACTTGGTCTCAAAGCTCAGGGAGGGTTATAGTGTTTTTAAATGCAAAAATCACAAAGACCATAATTCACATGACAAAGTAACCTTGAAACATTCATTCCTGGCAGAAGTTTACTTCAGACACAACACAAAAATTATTTTTGACTTAGATCTTCTTCAATTATTCTAGTTTATGTCAATTATTTTGGTTAACACATCTGGACCATGGGCAAGGCCATGGAAATTCAAGTGTGTCAGCAGGGTAGATGTGACCATTGTGGGAGTGGGTTTGGGTAGAGGGCTGAGAACTGTCTAAGGGAATACAGTCAGGACAGGATGGCATTACTATGATCACTTCTCCTCCTCTGTAGGAGAGTCTTTGTTCCAAACATTGAAAAGATGCTTGGGTTTGCTTCAGAGACTTCCCTTTAATGCAAACACGTTTAAGCCCTTCGGGAAGAATCTTATTCCCATCACAAGTGAATGTTTCCATTGTTTATTTCTTTGGTCCTCAT